TGTAATGTAGTGGCTATTGTTGGAGACTTTTCAGTTAGGAGCCATGACAATAAAAAAAGTCGATTTTCTCCACTAAGAACTGTTACTTCTATATTTTCAGCTACAGTTGTTGTAATTCTTGGATATCTTATTTGTACTAAAGTGTTATAAATATCGGTCATAAATTCATCATTCATTATTAAAAGAATATATTAACCTTACTATATAAATTATATTTTATGTTTTACTTATTCTAATTTTTTATGTTTCAGTATAATTTTTGTATCTTGCAATAATCAACAATTAATCAGTAAAGAAATTATAATTAATTGTAATCAAGAATTAAATTACAATTTATATTTGGTTATAGCACGAACTTTTAAATAATAGCACTAACTACGTAACTGATCTAGATAGGCGATACAAGTATAAAATTAAATATGCGTTTGTATATATTTACAACTTTTAAATACACTTCAAAATGTACATTTTAAATATTAGTTTGAAATAAAACAATAAATTTATTTTCTGATAGATGGTAATATCAGGATAAAAATTTTTATAGACATTTTTTTATTTTTATTGAATGTATGTATTGTGACGTCACTGGACGCTCTGCAATTGGGCAAACTTTATTTTGAATAACGAATAAAGTCCCAAAATTTATGGAAATGATTTAAAGTGTCATTTATTAAATTGTAAAATTTTCCAGAAATATAAAATTGAAAATTTTCACACAACTTTATACTTATTATATTACTAATCTCACGGAAGAAAATTTGTATCTCAATTTATTTAGCTTGGAAGTACAGGAATTACAAAATATATCTAAAAAATTATCGCAGATTATGTTTTATAGTGTACACAGTGTTACTGTAACAAAAAAACAAACAAAAAATAGTTTCCAATGCCATTTTTTAATTTTTTCTTTTTTATTGCCTCTGCCATGGCACACTTTACACATTCATACTGTAAATTAAGTTACGTGACTCTTGCAACCCAGATTTACACATTTTATGTAAATTGTACTTATACAAGATATTAGTTATATACATTTTAAACTACTAATAAGGCGGCGGTTGATGTTGATAATGCTGCGGTGGTTGACTTAAGTGTCGTTGCAAATGCGTCACCAATTGTGGAGTTGGTTGTTGTCCACCAGCATTACCTTGCTGCTGCTGCTGTTGCTGCTGCTGCGCTTGTTGTTGCTGCTGCGCTTGTTGCTGTTGTTGTTGCATTGCAAGCATTTGTTGTCTCATACGTTGTTGATTTATTGCCTGTTGCTATTATTCAAAAAATTGCAATTATTTCCTTAAAATATACCTAAACGTATTAAGTTTAATTTTATTACAAAAAACAAAATAATACCTTCTTTACGTTAAAGTGTTTTGTTTCTAATATTTGACAGTAGTGTTACAAATATATTTAATATTAAATAATGTAGCAAATTTACCTGTTGGAATTGTTGATTTTGTTGTAAGCCAACACTTGTAGTACCTACACCTGTTACTCCCACTGTACCAGGTTTACCACTAGCTTGCCTATAAGGTGGTGCTGGTTGATTTTGAACTCCACCTCCCATTGGACCCATTGTATTCATTGTAACATTTGGAGCCTTAAAAATATGTACAATAATTTCCTTTTCTCTATAATCAAATTTTATTCACTAGAATTTTTTTTTTCTCAAATACCTGAAGATATGGTGGTCTTGTAGCTCCAGGTTGCATACGTTGCTGTGGTATGTACTCTTGACCCCTTTGAGGTCCCATAATCTGTTGTTGATTCGAAAACATCATATTCTGTTGTTGATTTATTAAACCTTGTTGTTGCTGCTGCTGCTGCTGCTGTAACAGTTGTTGCTGCTGTGCCTGTTGAGGTGCCTGTTGTTGTTGTTGCTGCTGCTGCTGTTGTGGTATCATTTGTTGACCTCCATATCCTGCATAATTTTGATTCATTCCTGGCAAAAAGCATTCCTCATTATATCACTTACAATACCTACTATTTAAAGCAATAACTTATAATCTATATAGTTACCCTGTTGCATTCCAGTATAAATTCCCTGTTGCTGTGGCTGTTGCTGCTGTTGCTGAGAAGCGAACATTCCTTGTTGTGGGTTGATATTTGGAGCACCATGTTGAGCTCTCAATTGTTGCCTAATGAACTGCTGTCTCTGCATTCCTTGGAATGCTCCTGGTGCACCAACAGGTGTAGCATTCGGTTGTTGCTGAGAACTAATTAGTTGATTGGACGGTAGTCGTAAACGCAACATATGAGAAAGCGCCTGTTTTGATTGATTATTCATGCCTGGCCTGTCGTATCTTGGCCCAACGGGAGTTGGGGGTAATTGTTGACCATATCCATATTGTTGAGCCGGTGTGTGAGTTTGTTGATTGGTATACCATGGTTGTTGATGTTGCGGTGGTTGACCAGTAAATATTCCCGGTTGTTGACTGACAGGTACTTGCTGATTTCCAAATGCCATTTGTTGTAACTGGTTTGGTGGTTGCTATAAAATACACAAAATAAGACCAAACACTGGAGCAAACAATTAATATACTTAAACTAAGTATAATGAAAGAAACCTGAATTTGTTGTGAAACAGGTGTTGTAGGTGTTGCAGCTCCTTTATTTCTTCTATGCCTTCGAGTCTTCATTGCTTTTCCTTTGCCATTAGTAACTGCACTACCAATTCCACTGCTACCTACAGTACTTGTTACTCTTCCAGGAGAATCAATACTCATTGGTGTATCAGCCTTGCCAGGTTCTGATTCCTTTTTGTCTGGTTCTAAATCTTCTGGAGGTAATGGCGGTGGATCCAAATAGTGGCTGGGAGGTCTAATTTGACTATGTGTGTGATATCTTAAGAGTTTGTGAGCATTTTGGTATGTAAGGGGTTTACGTTCTAATCTAACTGCTCTGAACCAAGCCCAGGAAATTGGCGCTGGGTTTTTATGACCTTCTAATACTTCCCATGTAGATACCCTTTGAGAATCACACACTTGTAAACCCTAATTCAACATATATTCTTATATATTATTTCTTCCCTTTATTGATAAACCATAAAAAATAACTTTTTAACTTACTTGTTTCTTATCAATACTATCAAATCCAGCTATCTTGTTGCCTTTTGTATCTGTTAAACATCCAACTGGTTCACATGTAATAACCTCCATTGTTAATTTTGGTAGTGGTAATAATTGCCTGACATATCGAATACTAGGAGAATTTCTATCACCAAGCTCCTTTTTCAATTTTTTCATTAAATTCTGATAATGTTTTTTATTCTCATCTTTCTCAGATTGCGAGTCGGAAACTAGAGTAGAATGTATTAGGGTTGCTAACATATCTATGATAGTGGTAAATAATTCGGAATTATTATTTAAATCTATAACACCGTAGCTAACCAACTGAACCAATAAAATAGCCCAGTCTGTGGTAGCAGTTGTATTTCTTTGTATAGTATCGAAAACTCCACCAACGAGGCTGAATCTCAATTGCAACGCATCTTGCAACACTTCTCTCGTTTTCGGATCTTCGGCGGCAAAATTTTTTTCCTCTTTACTGATATTCAAGAACTGTGACAGCTGCGAATGCAACGACATCAATAGACCTTCTCTTTGGTCATCTTGGCCTTTCAGACAAGTGAGTACTAGCGAGAGGAACGGTTGATGATTAAATAGAGACGGTGACTTCGATCTACTTCTCTCACGACCTGCTGCTGTTTTTGACCAATTACCAGATTCTAGTACTTGGCCAGCTACTTTCAAAACTCGACCTTGCACTGCACTTGGTAATTTCGAAACGAGCGGCGCAACTAACCATATGGAACCAGATCGTTTATCTGGCTTACTTGACATAGTATTCAGCTGAAATACATCAATTGCAGCTTTAGCAACAGTATCTAACCACTGAGAGAGATCATTTGATCCTGAAGGAAATTGTTTGTACATGAGTTGCAGATCGAGCCATGACATTCTTAAACTCCATTGCTCCAAATTCTCTAAGATGTTGGTTATATGAGTTTTCTGGTCGATAAATGCATCCGTAGAAGTCTCGGGATAGCAGATCATGTGAAGTAACCGTTGAGCTTGTCTAGGCGTCAACATATTATCGAGCAACATATCGGGATGGCAAAGTTCTTCTGGATTTTGTAAACATCTTTCTAGTACCCACTCTTGGCTACAAATTTGCCTTAAAACGTGCTGTGCAAAGTCTGATAGTCCTTTCACGTTCTCTGTAGTCATTCCAGCACTACTGCTGGATGAAGACATTGCTAAGTCAAGTCCCAAGTCATCACCACCTCCTAGAATATCACTGGTACCTAAGATATGACTGATGGACAATTCACTTGGTCCACCTCCAGTTACACCAACACCAACACCAACACTAGCTGGTCCACCTGCTTTGTTTGAGTGATTCATTGGTACATCTGGCTTCTTTGGTGGTTGTTTACCAGCAGTTGCATCAGCAACAACTAGTATGGCCTTAAGTACAGCTAAAACTGGACCAACCCTGATGTTATTGTGGGCAGCTGCTAGTAAATGCCTATCACAACTTAGTTTTATACTGTAACCCCTGGAGTTTCCATTTGGTAGAGGGTGAGGACTTGTGCTCACAGAATACAAAGCCGGTTGAGGACATTCGACCGTTTTGAAAAGTCGTAGGAGTAAGTGACAGGTTAAACGTGCTCCAGCTTCAGCTTCCATGTCTGCATCTCCACGACCCTCATTGCAAGCTTTAACTAACGATGGCAGTGCTATATGCACGACAAAATCTTCCAAGGAGAAGCAATGTCTTGCTGAAAAAGATAATGTTATTTTAACACCGATTAAAAACCTGTCAAGGAATCTTTGTTAATCTCAAAACGTGAATATTTGACAATTTTATTACTGTTATTTCTTCATAAATGAACAAATTTTAAATATTAAATTGAAATTAAAGATTTATAAATTTAGATATTATAAACATTTTCATTATACATTCTATATTAAATGAACTTCAATTGTAAAGTCTTATTGGCATTGACATTTACCAATTAAAATCGACGTAAATACAGCTAGAGAATTATGCAAACTCAAGTCTTGCACATCAACTTGATTTAAAACATCAATGTAAAACGCAGAATTATTCGAGGAACAACAAAGTGCCATAAGGATTCCAAGCCATTCAGCGTTTAGAGCATTGCAACAAGCTGTTAATTCTGCACACGTTATCGCAATGTCGTTTAGTTTATCGTTATCAGTTTCACTGCAAACTGCAACAATCGCGTTGCAAACGAAACTGTAACGATTCGCCGGTGTCTCGTTCAATTGTCTAGCCCACTGTGGCTCGATTTTTCCTCCCCGTCTTGGACTAGTAAAAATATCTACCATAAACTGCGTATTATATACGTGACTCGATGTTGTCGGCTGTAACGTGCTATAAAGAGCGGTACGGATTTTAGGATAAGCATTGCTAAATGCTTCCACTCCATGTGGTTTTGTTTTCAACAGAGAACAAGACGAATATAGATCGTAAAGATGCGCCAATACGCAACGTTCGGCAGAACTACAATCGCTTGGATTGGACACATGTTTCACAACTTTACAGAGTAAATCAAATACTGCTGTTGTTTGTTCCGGAGATACTAAAACAATCAAATTAGACGTGATTATCGTTTGTAAGTTTCGAATATTTTCTTTCTAATCATGTATTAGAAATACAAATATGTAATACGTCATTTTTTTTTACGCCTAATAAATTTTACAGAATCATACTTACACAACAAACAACAATGATATCTTCTTAATACTCCTACAACATATAAACTTAAACTTGTAGTATAACTTGTAACGAGCTGACTCTTTCTAACAGTCAACTGAGTTTCAACTTCTGGTAACTCCTTTAGTATTTGAATACAAACATCTATTAGACCATATATATTTAACGCTAGTTCCATTAAATCGAATAGAAATGCTACGTGTTCTTGCACTGGTAAGTACGATGAACCCGCCAATGCAAATGTATTTAACATTTCTATAACTTGGGTAGCACATTGCCACGTCACCACGTGTTGATCGAAATAACTTAGATTCTGAAACTTTAAGGTAATTGCCTCAAAGTTGAATTCACTGCGGGAATGTTTTTTTACTTTTCCACCTTCTGCAACGTCAATACTAAATTTTTTCCCAAACAATTTACACACTTCCTTTGTCATCTTTTTAACAATATGCCTAGCATCGTCTCTAACGCGGCCTACTCCATAGAGTAGCACGTGTCGTTGATTACAGTCGTGTTGACTGCATGTTTCATCCTAAAAATATAATATTCTAAGGGAAACATCTTATCATATTGTTAAATTTTTAATAAAATTGTCCGACGAACTTTAATTTTTACCTGTGGTAATGGAAAATGCGTCGTATACAACAAATGTCTACTATGACTCGATGGTATTTTGGAATCTAATCCTTCTTGAGTACCATGCCCAGCTAATGCATCTTCTTTGGGACTATCAGGAGCATCCATACTATTCTGCTGATCTTCTTTAATATGTTGCAACAACTTGTCTAAGTCATCATCAATTTTACTATCGTCATAGTCCATTGTTCGTCCATGATCATTTACTTCTAATTTTGCTGGCTTTAAATCTATTCCTGTAAATAAGCTGTCTTCATCGATTGGTTCTCGATTACTTGGAGTTCCTGGTTTGCTGGCCACAGGACCTAAATAAAGTGATAAAATTTATAACTTTCATATCGCATTATGAAAAAGTTCGTAAAATATGTGAAATTTTTACACATTAAAGGAATTTATTATCATTCAGACAAATATATTTTTAGATATGCAGGGTGAACAAAATAACTTGATCACCCTTAAATATCTCACTTGTTTTTAGTGGTATTACAAAATGTTAAAAGAAAACATTTTTTGATTCAAAGACACTTAGATATTTATTTATTCTACCTTGTATGAGGTCTCCTCTGGAAATAAGCGTACACATGTATGCGTCGTGTGAAAATACATCGTGTCTAATTAATTCTGAAAATAAGTGAACCAAATTCGTAAACTGAATTTTTGATTGAGCTGTTGTATTATCTAGTACCGGGGCGTCCATATCCAAAAACTTCATAAGTAATGGTTGAAAAATCGGAAGCACGGGTGGATTTCCATTGCTACAGATGCTATCTTTATCATCGTTATCATTCGTTTCTCCAGTAACTTCGCTCTGCCGTTTTTCGAGTAGTTTCGCGACTGCCATTGCTCTATGTTCTCCCCACCTTTCTGCACTTACTGCCCACTCGCACAAAATTTCAACCACAGCAGAATCTTGTTGAGGATTGTATTCTGTTTTCGTATCCCGTTCATTGGTATTATCTTTTGGAGGTGATGTAAATATTTTAGCATATAAAGTGTCCAATGAATTGGTAGAATCCATTCTGTCGAAACTATGTCGATCCAAAGCATCCAAAGCAGCCAGTACTTTAGTAGTTGTTATTCCAGCACTGCTTTGTTGCCACTTATCACATGACCATTTCCCTTCTGCAGCTTGAGATCTTGCTCGTATGTTCTCTTGGGCAATTTTCAACTGCTTAAGCATCGGATTAGTTGCACTAGTGGGTGGACATGGTAAAGCTGTAGGAGGACATGGTAAATAGTCTAAAGGAGAACCATTTAACACAGATGGAGCTTTTCCTTCTCCAACACTATTCCATACTAATGCTGTTGGACACTCTAATGTAATAACCTAAAGCAAAGTCAGTGTCTTAATTATTAAATTGCTATAATTTTATTTTTATATTAAACATAATTATCATAAAAAGGATTTATTACCTGTATTATTGTTGACAAACTATAAATCACATCCCTGTGATGTGGACAGGACAAATAGTCGTTAAAAGCAGCAGTTAATGGATTTTGCATTTGACTAGCAGTGGCAGTGTCTTTTCCACCATTAACATCACTTTTGTTTATGGACGGACTTTGTGGATTACCATTGGTTTCCACATTACTACACATATGTGCCAATTTACGACAACACAAGTATGCCAAACGTCTAGCTAATAATTCAGACTGCACAAATTCTTCTAAATATTGTAATGCCAATGGTAACAAAAGTTTCAAAATACCATCCTCAGAAGGGGAAGATTTAATTTTGTCTAGTAATTCTAAAATCCATTGGAGTAATTCTTGCCTATCTAATAATCCTTCTTCAAACATATATTTCGCCAATTGTACACAATAATGCCACTGCTTCAATGCTAATTTATGTTCTTCATTCATAGTACTTCCAGATGTCACTTGATTATTTGAATTTGGTGTAGTTGGTTGAGTATTAGCAACTCCATTGCTACTATTAGAATTATTATTAACATTATTGTTACTGTTATTATTACTGTTGCTACTTCCAGTACCATTGCCATTGCAAGAATTATTTGTAATACCATTAGTAGTACTGCTGTTTGATGTATGATTATTTATATGATAATATTCCTGCAGTTTTGAGAGTTGATCTTTTAAAAACTTGATAAGTGTTCCTGTCCATTCTAAATACCAAAGTAAAAAAAAAATTATAAATTATTAATTGAAACTATTATATAGTCTTTCTGATGTATACTTGTACAACATATAGTTTGGTTTTTTGTGGACTGTTAAGAAGAAAATAATTTTATTGAACTATGTAATTGTTTACCTGTAGTTGGGTCAGGCAATTGTCTCTTTTTTATTTTGGCTTCAGAAACTGCTACTGTATAAGCAGAACTAAGTTTAATAAACCAAGCTGCTCTTAACATTGGTACTTGATACTCGCATAACATCATAAATATCTCCTCTTTCTTATTGAAGTTGGGAGCCTTCTTTGCAAGAGCTATCAACGGCTTACATCCAGATAAATCTTTGAACCATGCCTCAATGCCATTTTTTGTTCTTGCAGTTACTGGCCAGAAATTATCTTTAGGATTGATCTGTTGCCGTTTTCTTGCTGTATCCGGCATTGTAGAGAGCTCTTCCTTTTTCGCGAGGATCGCATTGAAATATGCTCCCACTTTAGCAGCAGTGACATTACAGTGTCTTGCTGTCCCAAATTCCTCCGACATTTGAGGCATCGTTGCAAAACCGAGTTTAACATTTGTTGAGGTGAGTTCGTCTTCTTTCTGTTTAGGTTCTTGAGGATAGACGTCAGGCGGCCCTAATCTAGGCCGTTTTAGTGGCCTTTTCTCATACAATATTCCCATCATGGTACGAGGAAATTATCAAATTCGGCAGCCGACTATCGACATTATTTACATATACAACAGAATGAAACGATTTAAAAGTTACAAGCTCATTTCAGAGGCTGCGTACGACATATAACCTGCGCTAATGACATATTTACAATTACCCAACAATGTTAACGGTAACACAACGGCAGAATCACTACGCGCATGAAGATTTCTAGGTGGCGCGTCGCTATTAAAGTCATAAACCTGAAAGTATATACACATCGGGATAACAACACTTCGAACTATTGTATTTAGTCATTTTATCTGTTTAATATGAATCAAAGAAATGACTAGAGATCTTATTATGTTTAGAGTGCAATATAATATCGCTAGAATTACAATGTTTTTTAATAATTAGAAGATTACTCAATACTGATGACGAAAAGACATCATTAGTTGAAGCGATAGAGAAGTTAAAATAAATCAAATGGATTAAAAAATATATACTTTTTATTGAAATAATATATTACATTCGATGTTTAAAAAGCAAAAGTAGTATATAAAACCTTTCTACCTTCAATCTTTTAAGAAAGATGGAGAAAGATGGATGTGTGCGTTAATTCTTTTAGTTATTATTTTAAAAGTTTCTTCTTGTGCCAACTAAGCAATGCTCTTTACAAAAATCCCTAGGTTTGAACAGTGCTATTCAGTTAATGTCAAGGATTAATCTTATTGTCAGAATTCATCGACAAATTTCGTCCGTTGTAATATAATTTAATCTCTCTATTACGTCAGAATAATAAATATGGAAAACGATGAAATTATTTGTCTTTCATCAGATGATGATAATAGAGATACAGAACGGGTTTGTATATTTTGTTACCTTAAAATGTGTATAATTATATCACCTATAATTTGTAAATACTAAGTGATTCATATAATTTATCTTTTATTGACAAATCATCAGTGTTACAAGCTAGAACACATTGAGAATTAAAAAAGTTATATGTCATTGTTTTAGAATAAAGTGGATAAGAAACAAGGGTTAGATATCAACCAGTCAAAGGACAATTCTGTTTCTCATATTGAAGTAGAAATTTCTTCAACCGATGACAAAAGAGTGGCAAAGCGTGGACAAAAAAGAAAAGCATCTAATGCAGTTATTGATGAAGATTCTTTTTGTGAAAATAATACAAAAGTATTTATACTTGAGAAAAAGAATAATATTAAATCACAACCAGTGGAAAAGGAAAAGGAAAAAGAAAAGGAAAATAAAAATGGAAAGGAGGAGAATATAACATTACTAAAACCAAAGTTGGTTGTAAAGGAAAGAAAAACTATTTCTTCAGTGGAACAAGATATATTTCCTATGTTCATTAGTTTATGTTTACAAAAAGATCGGTCTGAGGATATGAAAATTATTGTTAATAAGTTAAAAAGGCGTTATGAACAATTGGATTCAATGTATGCAAATTCGGAAGCTTTTATTGATTTCCTAAATGAGAAAAGAAACGAAATAATAAGTAGTAAAAACAAATTATACACTTATGTAGCTGAAGTGATGAATGAAATGAAAAGTAGCTGTAAAGGAAAATCAACTTTATTATTAAACAATAAAAATTGTACCTCTAATGCAAAAAAATCAAATGTAAATAATGATTCAGTTGTACCTAGTACACTATGTTCAAATACATCTCATAACAGTAATAGTGTAACTAATGATAATACTGAAGAAGAAGATGTAAAACAAGGTCCCACACAAAGGAAAATTAATTTAATCTTAAAAACAATGAAAAAGTGTGAAGTGTATATAAAAAAACTAGAAATGTCAGAAGTAGAATTTGATGATGAATGTAATAGCAATTATATAAAATTAGAAAAGTATAAATATCGAATGGTAGAACTTTATAATAAATACTGTGAATATATTGGAGAAAATGCTGATGCAGGACGACAATATTTACGCCCAAAGCACTTCAGTACAACTGGAATTGTTGCTGTAGATCATGCTATTACAAGTTTTATCAACTCTAAAATATCTAAAAGGAATAAATTTAAAAAAATTGGTGCTTTTGCAAAAGCATTAATTTTTCCAGATTACAATGACATCTTAAAGTGTATTATAAAATGTAATGAATTGCATAATTTAGGACTAGATAATAAAAAGCAGCAACAAATTGGTAAGTTATTAAAATTTGATGAGAATTAATATGTAATTGAAATTTTATCTCTTGTATATCATATTTGTTACAGCAAAAAAAGCATTTATTGAATTGGGAGAATACCTGCAGCGATGTCGGCGAAATGATTATTGGGATACATTTTCCTTATTTCTTGAAAATCAAGATGATGATCCTGCATTAAAGGATTCAGTATTAGCTGAAAAATTAATGCAAAACAAGAAAGATGGTGAGAAAAAATTGTCAAATATATTTCAAGAGTATGTGAAGAAACAAGAAGAAATGAAAGATCCAATTACCGATTCTAAATCAACTGGGAATGAAGAAGAAGAAGAAGAGGATAGTATAGAGAACGAAGATGCAGATGACAGTAATGAAGATGATGATATTAGTTTAGATATTTGTTTGAGCATAGACAAGGATAAAACTAGTTCAGATGAAGATGAAAATAGTACAGGTGAAGATGAAATATCTAGAAATACAGGTACCAAATTTCATATAGAAAAAACTAATCCTGAAGGACAAAAGGATGAGTTAAAGGAAAACGATGACAACAATTTAAAACCAGCAAATGTTAGTGATGTTACAAATATATCTAATTGTGAAAGTAATTTTGAGCCACTGTCAATAAAAGAAAATAATGCAGTATCATCACCTGACGAAACACAACTTTTAAGTACTTCATCCAATACATTAATGACTGTAATAAACGACAAAACTCCTAGTGATAAAATAAAAGGTTAGAGTACAAACATAATACTGATGACAAAGAATTAATCATTCAAGAATAAACAGAAGTATTTAGATTTTGTTATGTATGCATGTTGTAGAGGAGCAATCTAATATTATGGATGAAGATCCAACAGGTGATAAGCCATCAGAGGAAAAAGAAAAAGAAAAGCCGTTACTACGAGTACGTTCTTTTGCTAAACCTCCTACTACGTGGGAAGATGTATGTGAGAAAGTAGATGAATGTAAAAAAGATGAAAATACATCAAAGACATTAATTGACAAGGATGTAATAGATCTTACACTAGAATCACCAAAAGAAATCTCTAGTGTTCATCACTGTGCAACTATTCAGATTGGATCTAAGGTACTTCCTCTAGTGAAAGGTAAATACAAAACACTGGTAATACCAACAGGTAAAAGTATAATTAATGTAAAAAATATTACAAACAATTACGTAAGACTGAATACTAATGACACGGATTCGAGTAATCCAACTAAATTACAAAGTGGTAAAATCATATCGTCGCAACAAATAGTAGGTAAAAATGGAAGATCTACAACTATACATCTATCATCGAATTTATCTATTAATCAGCAAAAAAATGCCAATAATCGGGCAAAAGATTTGCAAACAAAACAAAAAAGTATAACTGTACAAATTCCTCCAAATAAAAGTATATTGTTATCCACAAAACCAAAGGGGAGTACCTCGCAACATTCAGAGACGAATTTAAACACGTCACAATCTAAATGACTCATAGAAAAATTAAAAGCAGTTCATCTTGATCATTGTTATGCAAAATTATCAACTAATGACAGATGACCAACAGACTGCAGTATATAAATGTAATAACTTTTTTATAATATATTAATGTATAATGTATTAGCATACCAACATATACTATATTAAAT